AAAAATTTATTGTTTTTGTTACACAAAATTGATTTACATGTTACACCTGATTCTGAATTTTAATTGGCAAATTGTTTATAGGTGATAATCACCTGTGGTGTAAATTAGAAATGTTCAAACTAAATTTAGAACCTTATATTAACTCTATAATATATTATATAAAAAAAAAATTTTTAATAACTGCATTTTAACCCTAAAAATATTTAGGTGGTAACAATTATTGCCAGTTATTTGTAATAAATCTCTAAAATATTTTTACTATATTTTTACTATATTTTTATATTATTTTTATAATATTTTTATAATATTTTTATTATATTTAGATTATATTTTATATTATGTAATATTTTAATATATTTTAAGGATTTTACTAAAATGCACCTATGATATTCTTACACTATAGGTCTCATTTCTCAATAACATACTAAATAAACAGGATCGGGTTCTCTAAGTAAAAATATTCAGAACCACAAAAACCTTATAAAAACTGAGATTAGGCCCTACTAGACCCTTATAGTAGCTCTATAATATATTATATAAAAAATAATTCTTAATTTCCTAACTCTAATTTTAAATTTTATTAAAGGAAATTATACATAGATACTATTTAATAGGATATTGTTTGTATGAAAAAAAATGTCTGATATATAGTTATTATGATTATTATAATTATAATTACTATTATTCTTATTCTTATTCTTATTCTATTTTTATTTTATTCTTATTTTTATTATTATTATTATTATTATTATTATTTTTCTTCTTCTTTTTCTTCTTATTCTTATTTTTATTATTATCACATACACTATTCTGTCCAAAGAAATGAACTTGAAAATAAAAATATTTTATAATATATATTATAATAATAACAGGTTTGAATAATTTCTTAAGGATAGACATATATTATTTAAAATTATTAGAATAATTATTAATATATACCAATTTAATTATATTTCAAAATTTCTTTATCTTAAAATTATTATATATATATAGCATATTATTAAGTAGATTCAATTAATTTGATAATAATACAAAACTGGCAAAATAAAAAATTGATTTGGTATTTTCAGCAACATGGTTAAATATCATGAAAATTATACAGCATTAAAATTAAGACTTATCTGGTTCTGAAAATTTTCTTATTTTTTTGTAAAGCTTATCATTAAATACCTCTCAAATCACTTTATTTGTCTTAATTTAGTTGGCATGTACATTTTAATCAATCATGCTTGCAAATAATACTCAAATACTTATTTATAAATACTTATTTATATTTAATTTAGATTTAGATAGCTAGAGAATACCAGAATTTATATAAAAGAAAAAATAATAATAATTGGTTTAAGATAAAAATAGAGATATTAAATCATTTAATGAAAAAAGATATAATATATAGTATTTAATAGATATAGAATATAGGAAAAAAAAAGAATCAATAAAAGTAAAAAAAAGAAAAGAGATAAAAAATAAAGAAAAAAAATAAAAGTAAATATAAAAATAAATAAAATTTAGAAAACTTAAAAAAATTAAATATTTAATAGTTGTAATCAATAATGCTACCACTATAAAAAGCTTTTACTAATTCTCAAAAGAGAAGTTAAATAACTTGATATAACTAGAACAGTTTCTCTATTATATTTTTTTAAAATAGATAAAACATATCTTTGTATTTGTTTGAAGTTTTAAATAAGGTTTTGTAATTATAATAAATAAGCAAAGTTATTTTAAAAATTATTTGAAAAGAAGTTTTAAATGAGGTTTGTTCAAAGTAGAGAAGAAGTTCAGATGACCAAAGATAATTGTTAATAAAAGAGTATATATTGTTTTTAATATGTTAGTGTATCTGAGTCAGGATCTCCAAATTTGAATTTTAACCAATTTTATTTTGATGAAAATTTAAATTAATAAGGTGGTATTTTTGCAACAAGCTTCGGCTAGCGCTTTTCTTGCTAATTTATCCAAGTCATTATTTCTTAAATCCAAATTAGTTAAGGTAGTATTTTTGCATAAAGCTTCAGCTATTGCTTTCCCTGCTGATTGACCCAAGCTATTATTATATAAATTTAAATTAGTTAAAGTAGTATTTTTACATAAAGCTTCAACCAACAGTTTTCCTGATTCACCCAAGTAATTACTTCCTAAATCCAAATTAGTTAACATAGTATTTTTGCATAAAGCTTCTGCTAGTGCTTTTCCTGCTGATTCACCCAAATTATTAATTCCTAAATTTATATTAGATAACGTAGTATTTTTGCATAAAGCTTCTGCCAGTACTTTTCCTGTTGATTCACCCAAGTTATTAAGTTCTAAATTTAAATTAGTTAAGGTGATATTTTTGCATAAAGCTTCTGCCAGTGCTTTTCCTGCCGATTCACCCAAGTTATTACCGCCTAAACATAAATTAGTCAAGGTAGTATTTTTGTATAAAGCTTCTGCCAGTGCTTTTCCTGCTGATTCACTCAAGTTATTATCACGTAAATTTAAATTAGTTAAGGCGGTATTTTTGCACAAAGCTCCAGCCAGTGCTTTTCCCGCTGATTCACCCAAGTTATTAAATTCTAAATTTAAATTAGTTAAGGTAGTATTTTTGCATAAAGCTTCTGCCAGTACTTTTCCTGTTGATTCACCCAAGTAATTACATCCTAAATCCAAATTAGTTAACGTAGTATTTTTGTATAAAGCTTCAGCCAGTGCTTTTCCTGCTGATTCGCCCAAGTTATTATTATGCAAATTTAAATTAGTTAAGGTGGTATTTTTGCATAAAGCTTTAGCCAGTGATTTTCCCGCTGATTCACCCAAGTTATTTAAATCTAAATCTAAATTAGTTAAGGTAGTATTTTTGCACAAAGCTTCAGCTAGTGCTTTTCCTGCTGATTCACCCAAATTATTGAAAAATAAATTTAAATTAGTTAATGTATTATTCTTGCATAAAGCTTCTGCCAGTGCTTTTCCGGCTGATTCATTATTACGTAAATTTAAATTAGTTAGGGTGGTATTTTTGCATAAAGCTTCAGCCAGTGCTTTTCCTGCTGATTCACCCAAGTTATTATTACACAAATTTAAATTAGTTAAGGTGGTATTTTTGCATAAAGCTTTAGCCAGTGATTTTCCCGCTAATTCACCTAAGTTATTACCGCCTAAACATAAATTAGTTAAGGTCGTATTTTTACATAATGCTTCAGCCAGTGCAGTTCCTGCTTTATTACCTAACCGATTTTCGTTTAAATTTAAGCATATGAGAGTAATGTTCTTGTATAGAGCCATAGCTAGTGATATTCCTGATTCGTCTCCCAAATAATTGCCTTCTAAATTTAAATGGGTCAGTGTGATATTACTGCAGAGTGCCACAGCTATTCCTTGCCCAGCCCCATTGCATAAATCTTTTGAACTCAAATCTAAGTAATTCAATGTGGGATTTGTATGTAGAGCTTCAGCTAGAATTATTCCCGCCTCATAACTTAGCTTATCATGGTCCAAATTTAAATTGCTCAAGCTCGTAATATTATTAACGGCTTCTGTTATTGATAAGTTATACGGCTGTGAACTTGATATTTCTTTTTAATTGGTTGATGTTAATTTATATAATTTCATTATTTTTGTATAAGATTCATGTTCGAACAGGAGTTAAATGTAAATGGTATGGTTAATATTAAATCAATAATTAAGTATAGACACTAAATTTAATAATAACATTATATACCATTATTAAACAGTTTTCTTCGTTTGATTTCATCTTATAAATGTAATGCATAAATAAGTCTAACTATATGTTTAGAAAGATAAATAATTAAATGTTAAATTTAACTTACTATAATCCTCTTTATTTGATAAAAATTCGATTGTGTGTTTTATCGAAGTTGGCGGGTTTAATGTTGAATTTAGATTGTTACCATTTTTAAAAAGCTCAGGACTATATATCCATTTAATCGAAAAACCCTCTGATTAATTAACTTTTAAAATTTCAATATACAGATACGAACTTATCTACTTACATGAATAATGAATCATTGCTAATATTTTGAAAAGAATTTAAAGAGTCTGACGTAGAAAATTTGAAACTTGGAAGTATAGATACAATAGGATTTAACAATATGCTATGGGTTTTAGAATGGGGATGCATGTATTTGGCAACGAACTTCCCATGCTTAAGCAATTCTTGCCGTTCATTATCGGCTTCTATGGAAATTTTATCGACATTCCAATATGTCTCCTGTACTTCATCATATATTTCATTAATAGACGGCCTCTCTGATGGATCCGAATGCCAACATTTCTGCATTAAAATAGCCCAACACTGCGGTGTATCTTCCGTAATATCTGGGCGTGATCCATCGCATATATTAAACATAAGATGCGCATCATATGCTCGATCGCAAAAGGGACGATGTCCAGATGCAAGTTCCCACATAATCATTCCTAAGCTATAGATATCCGAACTAAATGAATATTGTTTTGTTCTGAATACCTCAGGTGCGACATATGGCATAATTCCATATATATTAGGTTCTGAATTTTCCGGACCTTCCTTTGCTAGTCGACTAAATCCTAAATCTGCAATGAAGGAGTCTAAAAAAGCATAATCAGACCTCATATTCACTTTATTTATTAATATATTTCCATCGTGTATATCGCGGTGTATGATTTTATTTTCATGAATCCATTTAATGCCAGTAACAATGCCCCGAAGAATGATTTTTTTCATTTTCCAAGTAAAATTTTTAAAATTATTTGATAAATATTCATTCAAACTTCCATGAGACATATAAGACATAACAAATATATGATTATTTGTATTTGGATATTGTGACACTCCATAACATTGAACAAGTTGACGTTTGGCGGAATTAGGCTGACTTTCAACAATATTTTGTAACTACAAAAGAAAAAAAAACGATAAGAGCTTTTTATAATTTTTATAATTAAATTAGAAATATTCATTTATATCCATACCTCTTTTAAGAATGCAGAATTAATGTTAGAAGAATCCTTAAGAACCTTTAGCACAACTATCGCATTTTTATTCCGGTTAAATCCTTTATTAGCACACTTTAGTGTTCCTTTTGTCCATGTAGCAGTATAGACCTCACTGAAACCACCAGTTCCAATTTGCTTTAAGTCTACAAAGTCTTCGAATGGGATCCACTCTAATCTATATTTAAATTGCTTATTATGTGTTGCCTTAATCAAATTGTCAATGTCTTGATTTCCGCTATTAGTATTCAGGAATCGTGCATTATCACAATCAGTACATAATTTATTATCTTCATATTTAAGTTTTATTTTTCTATTACAGTTGGTGCATTTAGGTTGTTTGGAATTGCAACGAATGCATAGTTTATTAGGTTTAAATATTTGATTTTTACCGCAGTTTACGCATTTAGCTCTATTGTGCTTCATGATTAAACTTCATTTCATGTGTTCTAATTATTGTATCTAGAAAGTGAAAGAATCGCCACAATATTTAAAGCCTACTAATTACACTATATAGTTATGACAAAAATCTTTTATACGGTACAATTAAAAACGGTAATAACGGAGAGCTAATAATTAACGTTAAAGGATAATAATGGATATACATGTACCATAGGATGAAATAAAAGTCAAGCTAATTGAAAATGAGAATCGCACTGTAGTAAAGGTTAAATTTGCCTTTTATTTGATGGAAATATAAAAATATTTATGCATTTTTAAAAAATATCTTTGTCGATATCGAATGTGTCATTTTCACAGTAGAAGTTTCTAATCGCGCCACATGCTTTTTTTTGTATTACAGTGCAGATTGCAATTAAATTCTAGCATTTCTAGTGGCGGTAGTGGTATAGTTTGAAAATTAATGTTCTTTATACTCACGCCCAAATAAAACGAAAAGAGTATAATGCTCGACGATCTCTGTTCGAGAACTTCATGGGAACCTAAACATAAAAATACGTTAAAAAAAAATTCACCCCTGACAAAAGTCACCGGCCGACGATCATTTTTGGTGATCGGTAAACGAATAGTAATTTTTTAAAAAAAGATTACGTAGTAAAACCATCTTTGACTATGGGTAAAAAAAAAACTGATATAATTTAAATCATGTGATAGATCGGTAAGAATTTGTATAAATCTCCACTCACAACCTACCATGTCTTGTGAATAACATCACGAGGTATTTTAGGCCACACAAACTTATACTATTGGTTCTCATAACCCGGCCGGGTCAAATTTAACAAAAGTTTGAAAAAAATTTTTTACTATATTTATTATCCGGGTGAACTTTTTTAAATTTTTGTAAAAAAATTTTA